GTGTTCTTCCTTGGTCTCGTTTTCGTGGATATACAACAAATTCAAATGATTGGTGATTGGCCTCTGCATATGTCAAGTTCGCACCAGGACAATTCTCAAACTGGTGAGCCCGTTCCATTCCTTTGCATGTATATTGTTTTCATTTTGATAAGCTTTATATATCCGTATACTGTCCTGCCCATGTCCGACCATACTCCCAAGCTTGTCTGTATTAAGCCAACGACGAACACTATCCAACTGGTGCCATACTGGCCAGACAATGCAGAAACATGGTTTCTGTATGCTAAGGCAGATTTTCGAGAACAAGAAGTCGCAGATCCTCATTCCCAATTTCTTGCTGTCATACGTTCACTACCACGGGAATTGAACAGGCATGTTACAGAGAACATGTTTAGTCCCGAAGTAAGTGATGCGTATACACTTCTCAAAGCCGCACTACTGAAGAAAAGTGATCTCACAGATCGTCAGCGCCTAAACGAACTGCTACGTAACATCGAGCTAGGCAGTACCTCAGCCACTGAAGTCCTCGCATGCAATAATGGCCTTTCCCTACAACTGATTCTCTCGAAACTACCACAATCTGTGCAAACCGTGTTGGTGACACTTCAGTTAGCTTCTCTTGATGAATTGGCATCCTCAGCAGATAATGAACTGGAGATCTCTGGCAGACCTGTCTCCAAAGTATGTCTTGTCTGCGACAAACCTGAGACCCAGGATTCGGAAGTAAACAATCTGTGCAACCCTGTTAAACAGCTGCTACGAACTCGAAGCACATCACAGAAACGCATCGCAGCCCATAGCAGCAACTCGCATGGTCATCCAAAAACTAAACCTGACAAGGTGGAAAACCCTAAATTGTTCTGGTTTCACAATCTTTATGAAGATGAAGTCAGAAAATGCCGGAAACCATGCAGTTTCAACATGGACATAGACTTGGGAAACTGCCGCGCCGGCACGCGTTCACGGCAACCGTAGTCGGCGGAAACAGCCGTTTGCTTTACGCCACAGATTTAAAAAACGGAAGTTCGCTACCTCGTCGACACCGGCGCAGAAGTTAGCGTTCTTCCTCACCGACAAGGGGGTGCCATCATAATTCGTCCATCAATCTCCAAGCAGCTAACGGCAAGGCGATCGCAGCATTCGGGAGACAGTATGCCTTCCCCAACTTAGGTTCACGTAAACCTGTTCACTGGACTTTCCTCCTGGCTAACGTTTCTGTGCCTGTCATCGGCACAGATTTTCTAAACCATTACGATCTACTCGTGGGTGCCCGTCGTCCATGACTGATAGATGACAACACAAAGTCGTCAATTGGCAGCACCACCTACGTAGGTCCGAGTTTGGCTGTCGTTATAACCAAGCCATCAGGCGACGTTTCCCATCAGGCAGTGTTGGATAAACATCCAGAGTTACAACACCCTGCACATACTATTCCGTGCATAACTAGCAGTGTGCATCACGTCACAACTACACGTCCACCTGCGGCATCCAAAGCACGCCTTCTAGCCCCTGATAAGCTCATAACGGCGAAAAGTGAATTCGGCCACATGCTAGAACTGGGCGTTATCAAACATCTGAGTAGTCCATGGGCACCGCTACTGTACACGGTCGCTAAGATGGATGGCAACGACTGGCGTCCAACCAGCGATTACCGAAGGCTTAACGCCAAAACAACACCGGACTGCTGCCCGATACCTCATGTTTACGACTTGACTGCGACGTTGTGCGGAATGAACATATTCTCCAAAATCGACCTCGTCAAAGGGTACGATCAGATACCTATGTCATTGATGACTGTCTCATTGAGAGCCCAGATGAGGAAACTCACCTTAAACATTTGGACCTCGTCTTTCAAAAACTAAAAACATCTGGCATCACAGTCAACTTGCGAAAATGTGAAGTAGGAGTTGGATCACTCAGTTTCCTTGGGCATACCATTGACAAAAAAGGTACACGCCCATTGAGAGATAAAGTGGCAGCCGTCACAAACTATCCAGAGCCAACCACTGTGAAACATTTTCGCACTTTCAATGGCCTGGTAAGTTATTACCGAGGGTTTTCCCCAACTGTGCCTCTGTCATGAGACCACTAACAGATCTGCTTCCAGGAACTACGAAGTTCGTGTCTCTGGACAACGCAGCTAGACTTGCTTTCTCTAAAGTCAAGGAAGCCATTTCGAACCCAACCATGCTTATGCATCATGACCCCAATGCTCCTTTGAGTATTGCTGTTGATGTATCTGATTCGGCAATTGGAGCAGTTTTGCAACAATTGACTGACAACCAGTGGCAACCGTTAGCCTTTTCCTCGAGGCGGCTGCAAGACCTGGAAACAAGATACAGTACATTTTGTAGGGAACTCCTAGATATGTACTGTTCTGTACGCTGTTTTTGACGTTCGGTGGAAGGCCGCAACTTCATTATTTTCACAGACCACAAACCGTTATCCTTCTCTCTTAGCTCGGCATCTGACAAATGCTCCCCTCATGAGTCAAGACAGCTGGATTACATCTCCCAGTTCACGTCAGACATCCGTCACATTTCTGGAGCAAATAACTCTGTAGCCGATGCACTATCACGAATAGCTTCGATAAACCATATGGAGGGCATTGATCTCGATGAACTAGCTCGGTATCAAAGAGAAGGCCTTGAGATGCATCATGAGTTGTCGTCCACAACTCTCAAGCTACGACTGTGTCTAGTAAGATCAGACAAGGATACAATTCTATGCGATGTCACTGCTAGTCGACCACGTCCAATAGTTCCGAAGAGATGTTGACGCAACGCCTCAATATGTTGCACAAAATGTCCCATCCGGGTGTACGAGCCACCATCAGACTTATAGCACAACGTTTCTGCTGGCCTGGGATGAACAAAGACGTTAAGGAGTGGGCTCAGTCGTGCTTAGCTTGTCAGAAATGCAAAGTCACGAGACACACGAAAAAGCCGTTAGGTTCTTTTCCAGCCCCAGACCACGTCCATATAGATATTGTAGGACCTCTACCAGAATCTAATGGATGTACTTAACTTTTCACTCGCGTGGGTGGCCAGAAGTAGCACCTTTTAAGGATATTACTGCTGAAAGTGACGTTGCAGCTCACTACAGACTACCGGCGGATAGCCCAATTTTCGAAATTCTTGACGTTGTGCCTGGTAATAAACAGATGTAACAACCACCGGCACAACAAAAAACACGAGCAGGTCGAACCGTCAGGTTCCCGGGATATTTAAAGTCAATTCAACTAAGTAGTGTGAGATAAAATGTCCCAACCATTTTTTTAAACCTAAAATTATTTTTCAAGGGGCACCAAATTTCTGTTTACTGGGACTGCGAAAATCCTCCTACATTTTACTTTTTTACGTTGTCCATGTTTTATTACCACGTAATGAAACTTTTTCAAAAAATAAAAATAAGCATGAAATCTATTTTCGATACTTATATATAAATGATTCCCATGTTTACGAAACTTTTTTCGTGTATTAAAGACTTCTATTTACATTCCAGGTGCAACGAGCACTGAACGGAACGTCAAAGGACACTGAGGATCGCGTTTGACGTACAATTCCGGCGTCACACACTTCTTCAGAATCAATAGCCTAGGGTTAGGCGAGATTCAGCGTTGACTAATTCGTTAATTGGACAAGTTAAAATAGGCTGCCTCTCGTCTGGGAGAAGTGACGGATAATAACTGTGGCCAAATGCAGGTGTAATTCTAGTTCCTTCCCTCCAGGGGAACAAATACCTTCAATTTAGGGATTGAAAAAGATCTAGGATTTGCTATAAGTGACACACGTGGAGCTTGTCCCCATGATTCCTTTGCAGCCAAGAAGGCATACGGAGCCTGAAGATTTCTCCCTCGTACTCTAGGAAGCCTAACTTCAGGGTTTTCACGATAGTGCGCGGACTATTTACTCGTTCTCATACACATGAAAAGTCGCCGTTTAATTTCTCATACTTGATGAAGGACACTGCGAGCCGAGAAAGAGGCCAGAGAAGAGCTACCAAGAAAGTGACTGAGCCGCGGTAAAAACCTTACATGGAGCTCTTAGTTGCTCCTAGGTTGAATGCAGTAAAATACAGAAGGAACAGAGGGGTGTGATCACGGCACACTATGTCACCCATAATCCCATTTACCCTGGCCGTCAACTCCCAATCTGTTGTCAGAAACACCGACTTAGAGATCACCCCTTCATATTGGGGCATGAGACAGGATGTACAAAATCAGTGTCAACTCATTTTTAGCTAGAATACGCAGACTGCGGGGCCCCGTTCCTGAAGAAGGTTTCATAACTCACCCCACTGATGCTTTCAAAACATGGCGAAAGGTACATGTAGAGTCCTCCGGTACAAATAGACTATACTTAAGCAGACCATGGTTAGCAGCACTAACTAAATCAAGCCAACTGATTACTGAATTGATTATCTCTGACATTTGGGTTTCTTTGGTCAGAGAAAACAACCAACCATCCCAAAAAGAGTGTTTCCTATTAGGACGGATGTAGAACCCAATAAATCATAATTTGTTATTTCTATAAAACGACTTTTGAACATCTGTTCGTTTATCAACCACTTCAAACTTCGTGTTTTAGAATTAGTGAGCGATGGTCCTCTGGGATCTGCGTCTGTCTCTTTGGAGTAAGTTCTGGGTTCGGAATGGTAAGAATTGTATTCCGGGTTCCGAAACAATAGGACTGAAAGGAGAGCTAATGATGCCCTTGCTATTCGACGGAAACCAAAAACACTCGGAAATGTGTACCCAATGGTTATTTCTGAGGTACTTGAGATAAATTACCTATACATTCTGTAACCCAAAATTTTGTTTTAATCCACCAATGTATGGATCCAAGCTTACATTGCAAGCGGTTTTGTTGTTTTGGTGTGTAATTGGCATCTAGTTTCAATTCATGCCTAACCGTCTTGATATATGGGCGGTGGACCGTTTCTGTCTAATATAAAGTATATTTCGAAAATTCTAAGGGACTGCGTTGGATTTGGGACTTATGGATCATGTATTACTTACAAAAATACCTTCCGTACGTTTATAACTAATGTGCCTTTTTTATTCCTTATATTTTAAAGTGGTGATGCTAATCGTTTGTATTCATGTTTCCGTTTGATAGAAACGGCATAAGTTATTATTGTGTGCTAGGTGGGACCTCTATGGGACCATTCTGGTGGTTAGTAATGCTTTCTGAAAAAGTAGTCACGATATTTGAGAAACCACGGTAGAACTGCAGAATTCTTCCATCTTTGAAACAGTCAGTAAGCTACGAGTTGTTTCGTCGTTTCTCGGCAATCACATACTTGCAGATGGTTCACTGTAATAAATGTAAAGTGCAAAATTCACTTAAATTTACAGGTGTTAAGGTGCGAGAAGTTAGGATACTTTTTGCGGTTTAGGACTTAGGATTCTACTTTTCCGTCACATTTTGTGAGTTAGATTGTAAGGATTGAAACTAGATGTCCATATCTTAGAGTTCGATGTAAAATGCTTACAATTAGTTTTAAGTCATGGTTGTTAGGACGTAGGTTGAAGTTACAAAATAGCAAGCACAATTGACCAGCACCCTGTCAACCGTAAGTAACTGACCACTTCACAAGTTGGTCGACCAATAGGCTGCTAGTATTGTGATGTACACTTCTTATGTGTATAGCTTCTTCCTGGAAGTGTTTTTCAGCAATGTAGGGAGATTAAAATTGTGTCGATGGTGGAGAAACACGACTGCACGCAAGCACATAAAAGCAACTGGTTGATATTCACTCCAGTATGCTGTATGTCACACAAGGAAATTCGATCGCGATAAGTTCTCACGTAGTCTTTGTTCTGCCATAAGTCATTTCATTTGTGGGCTCCCAGAATTGCGTTACGATGCAGAGTTGTGAGAACAAACGATGATACTTAGCGATTGATAGTGGAGAGTTGAGACGGTGCAACCCGAATGATTGGTAAGAGGAAATCAAAGGACTAGTAATCAGTTGAATTTATAGTATCTCGAACCGAAAGCAGTTCAAATATATACAAATTGCAAGTAAGGATTAAGAGGGATGTCGCCATTTCTAACACTCACCCCCTCCACTTTTAAGAGAATGCAATAACATATTCTTATTGGGTTGTCCTGTAGTGGCACTATCGGTTGACAGCAATGGTCAGTTTGTCGTCGTGGGAGTAGGCCGACATTTTCAGGTTTGGATGTAAGTGTAAAGCCCACTAATGTCGGTGGTAGTTTGAATGTATCCAACATAATGGGTTGTGGTGACGCATCCCACTCGAACAGGGTACATTACCTTTCCACGTCAGACAATAGACCCATCAACCCAGTTGTCATGCCCTGGTTGATAGGCACGTGCGAAAACGGTCGAACCTACCGATAAGGTCCTTAAATTAATTTCTGTGGGACAAGGTGGTGTAGAAGTTCTAGACAAAGCGTGATGTGTTGTGCTCAGTTTACGCCCCATCCGTGCTTCTGTTGGTGACTTAAGGACTTAAAACAGAGCACCTGTATCCTCGAGCGGAAAATTGGGTTGGAACCAGATTGAAGACAATACAGTGAAAGATTTTGTGCACCGGCCAAGACTAGGCTGAGAAACATTGACCTCTAGGGATTGAGGTGGATTTTGGACCTGGTTGCAGAAGGTTTTGAGTGGAATCTGTTAACCCCAGACTGTCAAACCAATCAAAACCCAGTAAATTTAAGTTTGATTTAACAACATAACATTCTCCATTAATTGAGTAACCTTTGAAGAAGAGACTATTTGCAAGCTTACTGGACAATGTGAGATGGCTTCTATATGCACCACAGTTTGTCAGAAATGGTGGTCATATCTGACGCAGTGTTCAACTGCAGGCTGCCAGGATGGCTATGGATCGATACTGTTAGGAACTCTGTCCATAAATATGGCTACGATGTGTATGAATCTACCAATTGGCTTCTAGTAGTTGCGGGACCAATTTTTTCTAGGTGGACCAGATGTTTGTGGGTAGCGTAAGCTGCAGCAACCATCTTTGTATCCAACCATATTGCACTATCGGCAACGGTGTTGTTTGTACGCACAAACCTAATGTAATGCCAGGCGCAGCAGAGCCAACAAGGTGAAAGAAGAATCTTATGGGTGTCATGAGAAGTGTCATATGTGGTGAAGAAGGCGTATAATTTGACAGTTTAGATTTGGTCAGAAAAGAATTCAGAGATGAATATTTTGATGACTGGACATTATTGAGTTCTCCAGATTTAACCAATGTGGCATCGTGTCGAGGAGTTTCCAATGGTCGGAATTACTCCTTTATTTCACCAAGAGTCAATTTAGTGTCTTGTTTTTAGCATCTCAGCAACTGAGTGCGAATATTGGTGAATATCGGAGAATAAAGACTGTGTATCAATCAATCAATCATTATCAACATGGGACCAGGCATTACTGCGTAACGGTCCGAGTTGCCACACCTCACGTCAGTTCATCAAGTAGAAAGGTAGTGAGGTGAAGGATGAAGATAAGTGAATGCATTCCAAAGACATATAAAGTACGAGAAGAAAGGAAAGAGGAGTGACAAAATGGTGAGATTCAGAATAGTGTAGTCAAGATGAGGATAATGTGTGTATACATCTGAGCCACAGACGTCAGTTCCGAGCCATATCACCTAGGGTCTCCAACCACTGATTCCTCTTGTCCCGCGAACCCCAACCACCTAGTCTGCATCTCCCTACATGGCTTAAACCAACAGTCAGAGACTTCATACATTGGTGCCATGTTTTAGTCTGGCCACCTCGGACCTTTTTCCAGCCTGGACCCACCTCAGCCAACATTGTGTGACGAGGCAATCGGTGACTAGGCATACGTAGTACGTGTCCCAACCATCTCAGTCGATGAAGGTTCACCACCGTGTCAACTGACTTACCTCTTCTCCCCAAAACTCTACACCTAACTTCTGCATTACTCACATGGTGACACCACGGAATACGTCCTATACTACGAAGGCAACGGTGGTCAAACACCTGAAGCCTTTTTGTATCTTCCACTTTCAATGGCCATGTTTCACAGCCATACGGTAGAACAGAGCGGACTGCTGTGCAGTACACGCGACCCTTAATAGACAAACGGATATCACGGCGGCGCCATAGGTGGCGTAAGTTGGCAAAAGCCAATCGAGCCTTTTATATCCGTGCAGAGATCTCATCAGCAACTAACCCACCAGGGTTGAGCAAAAATTTGCATTTGGGTGGTGAAAATCGCATCCCAAACATTCTCAAATTCTCACTCAAAGTGTTCAGAAGATTCTGCATCTTGTCAGAGTCTTCACTTAACAGGACTATGTCATCTGCATATTCTAGGTTTAACGAAAATCCACCTGTGATTGGGTCAGCGTGTGTAATTAGGTGACAAGAGGGAAACCTCCATATATCTAATCTTCCTTCACGTCTCTCAATTAACGATGCAGCATTATCTTCAATGACAGTGTGTAAGGATCAGTGGCTTGAAGTGATCGTCAGATAATGTCTTCAGTCGAAATCGTTCACATTCTCGACTAACAACTTTGACATGTGTTCGAAAATCATGATCTTTCATTGTTAGCTTCATACATCGAAGCGAATCTTAAAGGAAGATGAATGATCGCCAAAATGGTGACTCAACGATTTGATTGTCTCGTGAGATGTGGGGTATCGTGCGTTTTGAGGTAGTACGAGATTGCAGTAGTTACGGAATTCTGCTGGGTCAAGTTTCCAAAGCGAAAGATGGGCTTTCCATCCATTATCCTCACCGGCAAAATAAAATTTAAACAGGTCTTCGAAATGTCAATACAAAGCGTTGAAAGTAACGTTAGTCTTTGGATCATAGAGTAAATCCGTATTACTACTAATCAACTCATCGATAGGAGCCAAACTGGGAGCAGGCGAAAAGGATGGTGGTGCTGTATAGCCCCAATCATGCTACCAGCTAAAATTTCAATAAGCTTAAATTGCTTTTCTAACATATATTCTCTTTTTGAATAATCCATGACGAGAAAATCGGACCTGTCGTCACTGTAACGATGCGGAGTTGTTAGAATGAACGATAATACTTGACGATTGGTGGTCGAGGGTTAAGACGGTTCAATCCGAGTGAGTGGTAAAAGGAAATCAAAAGACTATAGTATCTCGAACTGAAAGCAGTTCAAGATATATACACATCCTAAGTATGGAATATAAGAGGTATAGGTATCCTCAGCAAAGAGAACAGTCTGCAATCATATAGACGAATTAATGTGTAGAAGTCGGTTTAGCTTTCCATGAACACTTCAATAGAAAACTGAGACAGGTTTATCCAGAATTTGTTTGAAGATTTTTCTGTTTAATAACGTTTTACACCCTTAAGATTGCATTCATATTTCCTTACAACTTCATAGTTGTTAAAGGTCATTTTTGCCCCCGCTGAATTTTGTCTTTATTTTTAGCTTTACGGGAAGTAAGTCAAAGCAAAAACGAGATTAGCGTGTAGATTCTTTTGATTTTCACTCTTAAGGGGAGCCTATACATCCCACAATCTACATTTTTCAGTGTTTCGGAAGCAAACATACGAGACTGTTTGCAACGTATTTCAAGTGTTAAATTCCTCATTTCGGTAATCCCTATTTTTATGAAAATACTCGCGTAAAACAAGTTGCTTACCGCATTATAATCACAGGGTATGTAGCAGTTGAGTTTCAGTTCTCTGATTTTCCTTTGCTTCTACACCAATTATTTCTACTTTTTCATGTTCCTTTTCATAAATACCACTCAATGCGAATGTCCTCTAAATAATAGCTGTATTTAAACCAGTAAACACATTCAAACAGCTTTTTCGATTTCTTCCTCGTTAACCTCAACCGGGAAGCCTGCCTTTTCTACATGACTGATACCTGCGTTCGGATTATCAGCAGTGCCACGCTGATGCTGCCTTTCATATGGAAAGAGGAATTAGAAAATAGCACACTCCCCTCTACCCTACAGTCTTACATTACCGACGTTAAGGGTTTCTACCTGCACTCGAAACTAACTAACGAACTAAAATTTAAGACTTCCAA